TCCAGGTGCCCCAGTGTGCTTAACGTTTGCCCCGTTTGGGTTTTGGATTTGTTTGGGGACTGTTTTTCCTTTCTATTCCTCCCTTCTGGAATGGAAATGTGTACCCAATGTCTGTCCCACTGTATCTTGGAAGTAGATAAACTTGTTTTTGACTCTACAGGTTCATTGCTGGAAGGACTTTTGCTTTTGGTCTCAGAGGAAACTTTGGACTTTTGAGTTGGTGCTGCAACAAGCTAAAGACTTTTGGGACTGGGATGGAATGTGTAATGTGTGAATGTAAGGGTCATTTATCCTTGCTAAGGGAACACTGTGGAAGGTTCTGAATGTGTAGATTGTCCAGTGAGGGAACTGAAGAGGTGGATTGTTGGGAAAATAGAATGGTTTGGTCAGGACTCTCACCTCAGGTCTGGTTGGGTGTGGTACAGCACATCCTTTGTAAGCAAATTTGTGTGTGTGTGTGTGTGTGTGTGTGTGTGTGTGTGTGTGTGGAGTTAGTGTGTATGCACGTCAACGTATCTTTTTAGTTTTGTTGCTATTCTTGTGTTCTTCAGAGTTTGTGAAGCATGCTGGCTGACTAGTTCCTTAGGCAAATGCCACTCCGCACAGCCATGCTTTCCAACCTATGGCTTCCAAGGACCTATTTGTTGGTTACCTAGCTCATAGACCTGCATGTGAGGGGTCTGGTGACCCAGCCTGGCATGTGAGGGGTCTGGTGACCCAGTCTGGTGTGTGAAGGGTTTGTGACCCAGTCTGTGAACAGGCTTGAGGGGTCTGTGGGCTCCAGACCCAGCCCTAGCTCGACAAATGGCCCAGTCGGGGCAGGATTACAGGCAGATAAAAGACCATGACACTCTGACTTAAGCTGCTTAAAAAACATACAAAAATATGAGTATAAAGCTGAGCTATGAAGTCACATTTACACTCTACAAATACTATTCTTTATAATTGTTTTTATGTCTTTTTTCTCCCCCTTCTCCTCTTCCTCCTCTTTCTCTTCTTCTTCTTCATCTTTCTTCTGCTATTATTACTCCTCATTACATTTTATGTATCCTCAGGATATGTTTCCTAGGATTTCAGAAATGTTACCAAATTCTATTTCTCAAGTAAAGAAAATAAATTATATTTATTGGAACCCAAGTAAAGATAATAAATTATACATATTTATTTATTGCTTCAGACCATTTGAGGTTGCAAGATCTTAGTTATGAATTAAATGATTCTTTACCAGGATATGAGTCCTAGTTGCTCAGTTCAATGTGATACAGATTCAAACAATGGGTCATTAGAAAGAGTCCCTTTTGGTTTTAAAGTCCTAATTTGTTTAATCTCAACCATCATTAATTTCTGCTTTTCACATAGTTTTTACTTTGATTTTCCCCCAAATTATGTACCTTTTATGTTTAGCTTGATTGATCCATTTTTCTGTCATTATAATATGTTGATCTAGACTACAGATAAAATAGAGAATCTAAATAAACCTCAGGAATACCACTTTATAATCAGTAATATCCACTAAAACGTTTACTTACAAGAATATGAAGGATTAATTTGCAGTTTGCTCTTCTCTTTAGAATATTTGACTGATTTATCCTTTTTCCTTAATATTTTTCTTTCTATTTTAACACTTTTAACCATACAGAAAAGCAGAGAGAAGAATATAATGGACATCTATATGCCCATTATCTAGACTTAACAATTGTCTAGATTTGCCATATTTGCTTCATCTGATTATTTTGGCTAAAGCATTTTAAAGTAGTTCCAGATATCATGATGTCTCACCCCTAAATTCTACAACGTAAGTTTTTTCAAACAGGGCATTTTAAAACCACAACTGGAATATATTTTTAACACCTGATAAATAATTCTTCCAAATCATTAACTTCTTAGTCCATACCTACATATCCTTTTTGCTTCCAAAAGGTATTCTGTTGGTGGTTTGTTCAAACTAGCATCCAAAAAACAAATATTTGGTTGTCGTGCTTCAAAGGCTCTTTTAATCTAGAGCAGTCCCTTATTATTTTTTTCTCATAATAATAATTTATTGAAGACACAGGTGTCCTGTGGAATGTTAATTTGCATTTTTCATACTCTGTGAGCCTGAATATTTTTTCCTTGTACTTACTTACTATAACGCAAACTATTTATTCATATCTTTTTGTCCACTTATCTATGGAGGTTTTGGTTTTACTTATGAAAATAAATTTGTTGAATAGTTTCTTCTGGCTACTGGTGGAATGATTTAATGATATTTTAGTTATACTTACTTTGTATCTGACTATAAGTTATATGCTCAAAATACATTCTCTGTAATTCTCACTCTGACTACCATAAAAAAAAAAAAAGCAAAGAAAAGAAGAAACTAAAAAAGACATTTTAAAAAATGTGTGTGGGATGTTAATTACTATCATGAAACTGAAGAATACATCAGCCTAGTAGATAAGAACATAAGTTGGTGTCACCCAGATACAACCCTGCCTTAGTAACTATGTATTATGGGCTGACCTGTGTCTCCCTCAAATATATATATTAAAGTCCTAACATCCAGCACTTCAGAATGTGACTATGTTTGGAGATAGGGCCTTTAAAGAGGTAATTTAGGTAAAATATCATATGGGTGGTCACTAATATCCTAAGAAAAGGAGATTAGGACATAGACACAGAGGGAAGATCATGGGAAGACAAGAGAGGAAGACAGCCAAGGAGAGAGGTTTAGAAGAAACAACCCTGTTGACACCTTTATCTCACACTTTTAGCCTCCAGAATTATGAGAAAATTAATTTTTTGTTTAAACCACCCAGTTGGTGGTATGTAGTTAGGGCAGCCCTAGCAATATACTGTGTGATCTTGAATAAGTTACTTAAATGTTTCAAAAGCTCAATTTCTTCAGTTATAAAATGGAGATAATAATAATACCTGCCTCATAGGGTTGTTGTGAGAATTAAATAATGTACGTAAAGCTCACAACATAATAACCACTAAATAAGTTATAGCTATTATCATTATGAAGATTAAATGAGGTTATGCATGTAAAGCACTTAGTTCAGTGTCTAGTACACAAAGAAACCTATTAAGTATTAGCTATTTTTAATAAATTTTTGATTTTTATTAGATTTTTTTCTATCTCCAAATTATTGCCTTTTAGACCCAGTCTAATTCATTTGTGCCAAAATCAAGTCAGATGCAACAGGCTTTGACCTACCACTGACACAGGTTAACCAATCCAATCCAATAAACATTTATTGAGCTCCTACATGTTGTCAGATTTATTTCCAGTTACTTGATATGCTTTGATGTTACTGCAAAAAGTACCTTTTCTAAAAATTTTACTTCTAGTTATTTGAAGCTCTTTTATAAAGATGCAATTTATTTTTATGTTATTTTCTTTCAGGCTTGCTAAGCATTCGTATTAAGTTAAAAATTTTATGCTGTAGTGTCTCCTGGATTTTTTTGTTATATTCATAATCAGATCACATGCAAATAATGAGAATTTTGGTTTTTTTCTTTCTAAACTTTACATTTTTTCGGGTTCAGATCCTTATACTGGCCAGCCACCAAAAATATAAATATATAAACTTTACATCTTTTGATAAACAAAAGTTCTTAATGTTAATATAATCATATTGGCCTATATTTTCTCTTACAGTCAATGACTTCTCTGTCTTAAGAAATTGTTTTCTACCTCAAGGTCTAAAAGATATTTATGTCTACTTTCTACTTCAGAGTTTTCGAGTTTTACTTTTGAATGTTTAGTCTTTAATCCACGTGTAGCGCGCACACACACACAGAACAGTTTGTTTCCTTGTCGGAGAAAGGCTGGCTTGCTGTGGGCACTGGCTGCCTCTGAGTTTAATCTCACATCACACTTCTGTGACTCATTGCCCCAGCCACCCAGTGCCTCCCCTCTTACTGATTATTCTCATACAGTTCAACTCATGTCGTTTCCTCAGTGATGAGTTCCCAATTTGCCCCCCCCCCACTTAGTACTTCCTCTAGTACTGTCTCTCCTTAGAGCTTGTTACAGCTGTATTTTTACATTTGCTGTGTGATTACTCGATTAATGTCTGTCCCCAACTAGACTATAAACTCTATGAAGACACGAACTATGACTATTTTGGCTAAACTATTGTATTCCCAGGACCAATAATATTTGTTGAAATAACGAACTCTAATTCTGAACCATCTCTCCATCCCTGGGGTAAAATTTACTTGTTTGAGTAGCATTATTTTAATATACCGTTGGATTTGATTTGCTAATATTTTCTTTAGAATTCCTGTATATGTACGAGGGTATACATAGATAAAGTGAAACCCTCATTTCTTCTCAACGGACTACTTTAGATTAACAATATATTTCTAAGTGGTATTGGTGCCAATATCAGAGTTAAAAACAGAGTTCTAGTTCCCCATCTCAGTTCTTGGTTCGGAGGGTCCAGGGTGTAGGACCGTGACCCCCAAACGTAATATTACCAAGTACCAGATGACCCGTGAAAAAAGGGCAGGGGAGAGTAGTCTGAATTGGGTTATGAGGCCCCCCACCTGGGTACCTCACCTCAGCCATTGAACTCACTTCGCTGGCCGTGAGTCTGTTCCAAGCTCCGGCTAAGGAGGCATCCGCCGAGCCCCTCCAGGAGGCGGGATCCACGGCATCTCCTGCCCAGTCTGCCCTCGCGCGGAGCCCCGTTCTCTGGGAACTCACCTCCCCGAAACTCAGGGAGGGCCCTGTTAGGGCCGCCTACTGGCCCTAGTCTCAGACCTTCCCAAGGGACATGGCGTGGAGTGACGTGACGCACTCAGCTCGTGGCCCCACCGATGAGCTTCCCTCCGCCCTACCCCCCAAGTGGCCCACAGGCGGTATTTATAAGGCTTACAGCCCTAAAGACATTTACCATTATGGTGACTTCCCATAATACATAGCGACATGCAAAATTGAGGGGCGTGCCAGACGGGCGTCGTCTCTCCGAAGCGCACGCGCGCTGCGTGTTCCCGCCGCGTGACACGGCCCGCGATTCCTGAGAGCGAGTTGGTGACGTGAACCCATGGCGACTCGGCGGCGGGAGACTAGAGGCGGCCCGGCAAGAGGTTCGGAGAGTCTTGTTAGGGGGCGGAATGCTGGGGGCGGAGAGTCAGGAAAGGAATGATGCCCCCTGCCCTGGCCCTACCCCTTCCAGCTCTCCAGGACCTGCACTTGGCGAGCAAACCAGTTCTGGTGCTATACTTTTTAAATTTCGGTGTTCGGAGCTTTTTGGATTATAGAGTTGTAGATAAAAGCTCGTGGACCTGTAACAAGTGCCAGTACTATTGCTAATACCTAATGTCATCCAATTAAAAAAAATTAATTGCGAGATGCATCATTATTTTATATACCACTAAGAAAGGATAAATGCTTCCAATTAAACTATGATTAACTATTTGTATGTCATCCAATGTAAGATGCATCCCAATTTCAGAGAGAGTAGAAATGGGAGTCTTAGAATTGTTGAGATGGATATAGTACTCTGTGTATTATGTTCTTAAATGCGTAGGTACACCTTATAAATTAGGTACTATTGTTGTCACCCTCTGGATTTTACAGTTGGAGCAACTGAGTGAGGTACAAAGAGATGAAATTAACTTCTCCAAGGTTCCATAGCCAGAAGAAGCAGAGCTGGGCTCTAAGCCAGGCACAGATCCTGGAACAGTCTACTATTATGTCATAAGGCCTCGGGTGGTTGGAGGGCAGGTATTTGGGGGGACATTGGGGCACAAGTAAACAGAAGAGGTAAGCAGGCTGTAAACTTACAAGAGCCCTGGGGCTCCCTTTTATTTTATTTGGCTAGAATAGCGATTTAGGAAAGATCACTACAACTGTTACCCAGAATAGTGGTGTGGCAGTGTTCATTGATTCTTTGTAAATTTACAAATCCTTCTTAAACCATTAAGATATTTTAAAGATAAAGATTTTTTTTTCAACATGGGATCACATTCAGTGCGCACTCATTCATTCTTTGTCTGCTCATTGTTCTTGTGCTTAGCTTCTGTAACGTTAAATGAAACCAAGAGAGTTAATAATGGCAACACAGTTCCAGAAGACTCTCCACCTGCCAAGAAAACTCCCAGATGCCAGAGACAGAAGAAAAAAGAGCCTGTGGCTGGAGGAAAGGCTGGTAAGGACAGGAAAGAAGACGAGAAAGGTAGTAGACCAGGGAGGATATGGGCCACCAAAAGGGTCTCTGGGAGGGATGGGCGTGATGTTTGTTCTTTCAACTCTTATTTCTTCCCTCCTTGAGGACATAATTAATTTCCCTATCCTTTGGGCATACCATGGGACTAATCTACGTTCTTGAATCTTCATTTTCATGTATGTGAGGCACATTGTTGAGACCTAGGCAGAATACCAGGATTACTTGGGGGAGGGCAAAATTAATTATGGCAGGTTTCTGTCTAACTATGATATGGCTACTTTTGATTCCCATACAAGTAACTCTAGTACATATCTGTCTTTCCTCAGAATCTGTGAAGGCCTTGCTGTTAAAGGGCAAAGCTCCCGTGGACCCAGAGTGTACAGCCAAGGTGGGGAAGGTGAGAGACTCTGGAACCTACCCTCAGTCCATTAATTTCTCAAAGAGTAGTGTTCTTTTGTTATTAGGACTTTTCTCTAGGACATTGCAAGTATTCATTTTAGGAATCCTTTTGAAAATATTGCTAGTGATTAATTTTCTCCAAGGCCAAGGAGTGGGAGTGGTAGGGTTTAGGGTTAATGATCAGCGTGTTTTTATCGTGGTTACTTTCTGGGGTTGCCATCAGCCGTCCACACCTCATTCTCTTTTTCAACCAGATATCGTTATTAAGAGAGAACTGTCTTCTTGTTCAAATGAGAAACTATACCCTGGAATGGCACTAGTTACTGATGAATGGAAAAAGAATTTGAAGAATACAGAAGAAAGGCTGCCTCTAGAGCAGGTTTCCTTTAACTGAGTTAGAATCTTTTGTGTTTCTGTAATTAGAAAAGGCAGTATGTATTCATTATAGTAATGACAGGCTGTGTGCAGAACATATGTTTGCATTTCTTTCCCTGGAAAATGGATGTTGGTGGTACTGGAGAATGACATCTTGAGGCATAAAATAATTCAGAGCTTCACTTAAGATCTTGGAGGTAAGACTATAGTAATTTTTTTTTTCTTCTCTCTAGGCTCATGTGTATTGTGAAGGGAATGAGGTCTATGATGTCATGCTAAATCAGGTAAGAAGAGGAACCATTCTTTTAATAGAATTTTTGTTCTTGATAATTGATGATAGCATCCCAGTTCCCAGATCTTTAATTCTAAAGTCCCTTATATTAGCCACTAGTGGTTAATACTCCTGAGTACTGAGCCCTACCTGATAGTGAACTCTTCTATGAGAACCAGATCTTTTTACAAATTTTGCATCATTTATTGAACTGTAAACTCTCTATTCATATCCTTTTATGTATTTTCTAATAGGTTGTTGATCATTTTCTTACTGACTTGGAGAAACTTTATATAATAGGGAGAATAGCCCTTTCTCTGTAATATACATTGTTTATATGGTTTTCAAATTTGTCATTTGGCTTTTGATTTCCCTTACAATATACTTTTTGTCCATATTGAAATTTAAAATTTTTATGTGGTTAAATCAATTTTCTTTTTAATTAAAATTTTTTTCTTTACTATGGAAATTTTTGTCGTTTTGTTTTTTGGTTTTTTTTTTAAAGATGACCGGTAAGGGGATCTTAACCCTTGACTTGGTGTTGTCAGCACCACGCTCACCCAGTGAGCTAACCGGCCATCCCTATATGGGATCCGAACCCGTGGCCCTGGTGCTATCAGCACCGCACTCTCCCGAGTGAGCCACAGGCCAGCCCGATTTGTCATTTTGTTTTGTTTTGTTTTGTTTTGTTTTTGTGGCTGGCCAGTACAAAAATCAAACACTAGACCTTGGATGTTTTTGAATAGGTGACACACTTGCCTGGTAATGTATTTCCTGGATATCACTTCATATTTGAATATATTGATCCAATGTATATAATTTTAACAGCTAATATTATTTTGTAACTACTTCTTCCACCTAAAATATCATGAGCAGATAGAAAATATCCTAAGGCCCCTTTTTGTCTAACATCCAGTGACTTTATAATGTGAGCAGGCAGAAGGTAGAGGTAGGAACAGGCAAAATGCTTAAGAAAGAAAAGTGCCTGGATAACCAGGGCTCAGTCTTACAGCATGAGTTCCTGTGCTTTATCTTGGACTACTCTCTCTGCACTGTGAGTTACTTACGGATACCTGTTTTTTATTTTTTATTTTTATTTATTTTTTGTCTTTTTCGTGACCAATAAGGGGATCGCAACCCTTGGTGTGGTGTCGCCACACCGTGCTCAGCCAATGAGTGCACCGGCCATTCCTATATAGGATCCGAGCCCGGGGCGGGAGCGTTGCTGCACTCCCAGCGCTGCACTCTCCCGAGTGCGCCATGGGCTTGGCCCAATGGATACCTGTTTTTAGATACTAGTCATATTCTCTCTGAGTGTCTCCAAGTCAGGTCAGGTTATCTGTGTGACAGATATGGCAATGGTTTCTGCATATCCTTTGTCCCCTCCCAACATTGACTTGCTCTCTGCTCTGTCAAATTTGTGCAGCTGACAAACCAAAGCTGTGAGAACTATCAAAGAGTTTGTCATCTAAACAAACAAGCATAATAGTTATAGACCTTTTGAGCATTTAAATTGTTTTCATTTGGGAAATAATTATTGAGAATGTACTGGGAACCAGAAAACACAGATGGCCTTGAAAATATCTATGGAGGGAACTGAGGTAGGAAAAAAACAGGAGTAGCTAATCAATATAGTCTCTTCGAGGTTAGGTAGAAAGTTTTAGGAAGCTCCAGGCTCCTGGTTTAATTCTTAAGAATCCAGAGTTTAATATGTAAGCCCTATTCCTTTTTAATATCCTTACTCTTACAAGGATCTACTTTCCTTGCCCCAAGCTATCCTTTTCCTTATGGAGATTACTGGCATCTGTGACCAAGGAAGAGTCATAAGTTTATATGATTTTCATTTGCCAAACTGTTTCCTTTTACGTTCTTATTTCTCTCACATGATAGACCAATCTCCAATTCAACAACAACAAGTACTATCTGATTCAGCTGTTAGAAGATGATGCCCAGAGGAACTTCAGTGTTTGGATGAGATGGGGACGAGGTAATTACTTTTATTATGGATTTTTTGAGTTGTCATTCAGAAAGCCAGAAACAAAGAACCAAAAAAAGCCAGAAGCAGCTTAGTGAGTGGCCAAAGGATCCTGTGGTTTTATTTTATTTATTTATTTATTTATTTAAAAGTTGAATGGTAAGGGGATCTTAACCCTTGACTTGGTGTTGTCAGTACCACGCTCTCCCAAGTGAGCTAACCGGCCATCCCTATATAGGGATCCAAACCTGTGGCCTTGGTGTTATCAGCACCACACTCTCCCAAGTGAGCCGTGGGCTGGCCCAGGATCCTGTGGTTTTAAATTGGGTAAGTGGAGGCTTTGAAGTCTGGGAGGGGATTACAAATCAAGTTGAGCTTCTTCAAATTGGGGAATGGCACGCATCCTCCTTAGGAAATTTCCATTGGAAAAACTAAGAGCATCCCATTGTAGTTGAGAGCTCTCCTGCAATTAGACCGCTGGTATTGCTCGTAGACTGGCAGTTAGCAGGTAACTTGCCCTTTTACCTTTCCTTTATTCCTTTCCTGCCCGTTTGTCAGATGTTAAGCAGAGAGGCTTTAGACAGCTGGCTTGTAACTATTAGGGAACTGTTCTTGGATTGAGGACAGGGAACCATCTTATGTATGGCATTTGTTTTGCAGTTGGGAAAATGGGACAGCACAGCTTGGTGGCTTGTTCAGACAATCTCAACAAGGCCAAGGAAATCTTTCAGAAGAAGTGAGTGCTAAGAAATGAGTACGAAAAATACCCTTCTTCTTCTTGAATGTATCTTCTTTAAGAATTTTGTAATAAGTATGATTTGGCCTAAATATTAACATCTTTCCATGCTGATATTACGTGATTGGAACACCAAACTGCGTCCTTAGTGATTAAATCAAACTAGAACCTTGAAATTAACTAAAAGCAGAAAGACCTAGTTTGTTTGTTTGTTTGTTTTGTTTTGTTTTATTTATTTTATTTTTTTAAAAGATGACCAGTAAGGGGATCTTAACCCTTGGCTTGGGTGGTGTCAGGACCATGCTCAGCCAGTGAGCGAACTGGTCATCCTTATATAGGGATCCGAACCCATGGCCTTGGTGTTATCAGCACTGCACTCTCCTGACTGAGCCACAGGCTGGCCCTAAGACCTAATATATTTAATACACGACCAACAAGTTTAGGAAATTTTGGAAAAATGGAGAATATACAGCTAGAGTTTTAAAAATGTTTATTGTGATATGGATGAAAAACTTTCTGGAGTCTCTGGGAACATGTTTATTTCAGGGAAAGAGATTAGATATCTTTTGTTTTAAATCTCAGTGGCTTTCGTGGTGTTTGGGGGCCTTTGGGGAGCCTAAGAGTCCTTTTTCCCCATTTTTTTATTCCCTTTGTCTCCAGAGCTTTTCTGTCCATTCAGTGTCATAATTTAGAATCCTGATTTATGGAAAGTTGATGTGTAAAGGAGCTCTGTACTGGGAAATAAATTTTTTAGAGTTTTTCTGTCTAAGAAAACAGATGTAAGTTCGTCTCTAGTAGTAGACCTTTATTGGTAAGGTTTTCTTTGGGCTCTACAGATTCCTTGACAAAACAAAAAACAATTGGGAGGATCGTGAGAAGTTTGAAAAGGTGCCTGGAAAATATGATATGCTACAGATGGACTATACCATCAATACTCAGGTAAACTCTAACTCTACCTTTGCAGGGAAAGCTGTTTCCTCTTAATCAGAGTAAAGTGTAGCAGGATGGCTTAGATCAGTCCGAGACCAGAACAGGCCAAGGTGTCTTGAGCTGTGGCCGTTTCCCACCTCCTGATGTTTGGGATCTGGAAGAGGCTGTAAGCATGAGTATAGAATGTGCCTTTCTAGTCGCTGCTATTTACCAAGGTTCTTATAAAATCTTAGGCCCTGTTTCCAGAAGTTTAATGTTATGGACCAAGAGAGAAATAATAAATAATCTAATGGTAAAACTACCTGTAAAGTGGTCTTCACTTCTGGTTATATACCACAGTAAAAAAAAAAAAAAACTAATTTTGACGAAGTGAGGTGCACCAGGATGCTGAAAACTGTCACATATCTGAAAAATAGAGAAATCCCAAGTCTTTTTAAGATGAGAAGATTTGAGGCATAATCGCTGTCCTTACATACTTAATGACATCATTAGGAGGGCTTTTTAGACTTATTCTGAGTGTTCAACTGTGGGAGGCAGAAGTAGTACTAAAAGGTGGATGTCACATTGAGTACTCTAATTCGATTTATAACGGAATGTGCCTATGTTCAAGTTCAAGTAGAGGCTGATTGATGATCACCTTGCCAGATAATGCAAGAACCACTCCTTGCAGAGCCTTAAAATAGATCCTTTCGGATTTTATAGGTTTTTGTTTGTTTGTTTTGCTGTAGAGTGAAGAGGAAACAAAAAAGGAGGAATCTCTTAATAAATCTCCCTTGAGACTAGAGTCACAGCTAGATCTTCGGGTACAGGAGCTGATAAAATTGATCTGTAATGTGCAGGCCATGGAAGAGATGATGATAGAAATGAAGTATGATACCAAAAAAGTCCCACTTGGTAGGACTTTAGATTCTTTCCTGCATTCTCTCTTCATATTTCCTACTTTCTTTAATGTGATATTTCATCACCATTGCGATTTAAAAGTGCTAATAGTACTAAACAAAGAAAACGGGATTTGGGATGAGACATTGTGTGGAGGAAGGAGGAATGAGGAATTATTTGGAAAGTTGAAAAGTGAGAGTCTTCATTGGGCAGGGACATAACTACAGTTTACAGGATGGGACCCTAATTTGGAGTCTCATCTCTGGCTGGGCCTGCAGGGAAGCTGACAGTGGCTCAGATCAAGGCAGGTTACCAGTCTCTTAAGAAGATTGAGGATTGCATTCGAGCTGGCCAGCATGGACGAGCTCTCACAGAAGCATGCAATGAATTCTACACCAGGATCCCACATGACTTTGGGTAAGGCCTGTGCTGGTATTCACTTTGTTCTTCTACCCATCCATATCCCGTAAGTCAATCAGCAGCAGCTATAATCTTTTTAATCTTTTATTCCTAAGGAAGTGATCATCTTTAATAGATATAGAGCCAAAATGATTTATAAGTAACTTATTTAATCAGTTACAAATATGGGATGCAATCTCCTGGCCCGATTACAACCATATTCTTTGACCAAGTGAAAATTACCAACTCTAGAGAATGGATCTGCCTATCCAACCACTAAGTAAAACACCTTCAGGCATATCTCCCCCTTTTCTTATTCTTTAAGGTGGTTATAACCACACTAACACTATTTCTGGAACTCAAATGATACTAGATATATAAAGTACATTTTATTTGTTCTGTATTCTGGTTTTTATTCTATTTCTATTCCTTCCATTGCTTTATAGACCTCTTTGGCCTGGGAATAACCATGAATGGTCAACAGGTCTACCTTTGCTTCTAGACAGGACTATTTCCAATATATTCCTTATTAATATTGATGTTGCTTATTTATTTTTGTTTATTATTTATTTATTTATTTGTTTGTTTTTTTTCAAAAGATGACTGGTAAGGGGATCTTAACCCTTGACTTGATGTTGTCAGCACCACGCTCAGCCAGTGAGCGAACCGGCCATCCCTATATAGGGATCAGAACACATGGCCTTGGTGTTATCAGCACCACACTCTCCCAAGTGAGCCACTGGCCGGCCCTGATGTTGCTTATTTAAACAAAGATTCCATAAAAAAGAATTTCAACTCAAGTCTCAAATGCCAAAATCTGTATAATTTGTTTTATCCTACTCAGAGTATATATTTAATATCCCTTTGTATATTTGTAAGTTAAAGTCTCTTTATAGATCTCTCTTTCTCTCTCAAAAGGAAAACCCCAGTTTCTTCTACCTATTTTCTTTTTTTAAAAAAAAGATGACCAGTAAGGGGATCTTAACCCTTGACTTGGTGTTATCAGCACCACACTCTCC